AGTCTCGTTAGCGTGTTTTGATCCAAATGACCAAGCGCGATCTAAATTGACCCAACGCAATTGGTTATCACAAGTTTCTCTTGTCCTTGAGACACATTTTTTTTGCGTTTTTGAGACACTGGCTTGAAGGGCTTGAAATTTTCATTCAAGCCCTGAAAAGTATAGAAAATTAAATCGTCTAAGTGCCACTTTGGGTATAACAAACTTTTAAAAATATAATTAAAAAAAATGTGTTTCTTTAATTTTTTTTGTAGTCAATTTTCAAAGAAAACTTTCCATCAAATTGCCTATTTTGTTATGAATATCAGAAATGCCTCAAGTCGTTAGATTTCCTTCAGATAAAAAAGGAAATAAACTTAAAAATTGTTGTTTATTAATAGTATGATTGCAACATTTTTTGTCATTTTGCAAAGCAATCGGCTATCCTGCCTTTTCTTATCTCTTTGTTTGACGGAAAACTAAGTATGACATGATTCGCAACTCAAACTTTCACAAAAAGAAGTGCCTTTTTTGACTTTCTCCTTTTGCGCTTTTCATGATTGAAGCACTTAATCTTTATTTTATATAAAACATACGCCCCAAATTGCAAATCATTCTGGTTGAAAGGCTTATTTTTTGTAGAATTGTCTTTTTTAAAATCGCAAGCTCAAGTAGATAATTATGCTGGTTGAACGGGAAAAGTTCCAATTGGATGACCTGACAGTCTAAAACTTTTGAGTGATTTAGTATGACAGTCTAAAACTTAACAAGTGATTTAGTATGAATCAATTACATTACTGGAGTAATTCCAGAGATGTTGTAATGTCTTAAGCTACCTAATCTAATTACTTTTTTGTCCGTTTTTGCGCTTAGATAAGGTGTTATTAAAGATAATTTATTTAAAACGGATCCAAACGGCACATGCAGCCACTTGAAGCCAAACTCAGGAACGTTATTTCTCTTTTAGTCGACAGAACTCTCAGTGATCTAGAACGGGAGATCATAGCATTGCCATGCTCAGCTGGTGGTTGAGGTCTGATAAATCCAACAGAATGTGCGTCTCGTTTCTATGAAAATTCTGTCAAGCTGACAAACAAACTGAAAAACGCAATTATTGCTAAACAAGATCTTATTGACTACACGAATAGAACTGGACGAGCAGAAATTTCAGGATCGAACCGTAAACATGCTAAAGAAGCCCTCGAAATTGTGTATTCCCGAAGTGAGAATGAAATGAAGCGCACGCTAGACCTGCTACAGCCAAAAGGAACATCCGCATGGCTGACTTGTCTGCCATCTAGGGAGCAGAATTTTTACATGAACAGAGACGAGTTCCGGGATGCGCTATGTCTCCGATATGGATGGCACCTGAAAGGAATGGCTCAAACTTGTGAGTGTGGCGCAGCAAATGATATCGACCATGCCTTGATTTGTAAGCTGGGTGGTTTCGTCATAATGCGTCACAACGCTGTCCGCGACGTCGAAGCCGACTTTTTACGTAACGTGTGCAAGGATGTGAGCGTTGAGCCCGGTCTGATCCACTTGACGGGAAATGAAGAACTTGCAAGTGGAAGCAATCTGGAAGACAACGCAAGACTGGATATTTCTTGTCGAGGTTTTTGGGCGCCGCTGCAGAAAATGTTTCTTGACGTCCGTTTCACACACCCGAACGCTCCAAGTAATAGGAACCGAAAACTGAAGCCACTCCTAAAGACTCATGAGAATCGGAAAAAAGTCGAATACAACGACCGCGTTCTGCAGGTAGAGCATGCCTCTTTTACCCCCTTGATTTTTGCGACCAACGGCGCCATGGGTGAGGAGGCAGAGCGATATCATGCTATACTGGCGGAAAAAATGAGTGAGAAGCTGAACTGTACGTATGCGGACACTATGAACTATATCCGGAAAAAGCTATCCTTCACCATCCTGAAAACTGCTTTGATAGCCTTGAGAGGACACCGGAAGAAACAGCAATACACGTCCTGTAGTACCCGAGACACCGACATAAACATTTTGTGCCACAATCAATAAACATTCCTCATCGAATATCATTCCAGCATAAATTGTACACTTTCAGTATTTCTCTATACTTTATACCGATGGTTAATTCAAAACCTTTTCCCTCCATTTAAAATGGATCAAACATCTCATCACTTCATTATGGGGCCACCACAGCTGCCCAAGAAGTTCATTTAACCTGGAGAAAACCATTTAATAATTTTTTTCAGGTTAAATGGCTTACGTGTTTTAGTTCCAAGCTGATTAAAAAAAACTTTTTCATTAGAAGTAAAAGTGTTCACTCATTTGGAAATATCACTGTAGCCATGGAAATTGCATAGCATCTGTTCTCTGCTTTATTTGTGGCCATGTTTAATCTTCTATTGACGAATAATCTTCCGTGACTGAGTGTTTAGTGTTGTTATTGTTGTTGTTGTCGTTGTTGTGAATTTTCAGTAGGATACTGATGGGATGATATCGCATAGTGTGTGTGACTCTTAACCTCAAGGTCGTAGGGTCGAATCTAACTTTACCGAATTTTCGCTAGTTCGAGGCTTATTTATACTTTTTCTATTGTACTGCTTTTTGTGTTCTTGCTAGTGTTTGCGAAGCGAAGCTTCGCCTCTGTGTTAATACATGTGCAGACAATGTTTTCCTGAAATTGATAAAATAGTGTTGTTTACATCCAATTTGCAAGTGATGCGAAGGTCAGCTTCGCTTATGTATTAGCTTCTGCTTTTGGACGCGATTGATTTTCTACTTGAAGATGAGAAATGGTTGCTTACGAAGACGGAAACAAAGAGCTTGATGGAAAATTGACAGAAGAAACTCTGCGACCAAATAGTGGCACACACCTGAATGTGGGAAGTTTTCCCATTCCTTTTTCTGAAAACACAATTCTTCAGCAGCAATTAGAAGCGTTATATCAGCAAATTCACATGCAGCAGCAGATGGTTTTCAAGCAACAATGGGTTCCTCAACATCAAATGCCATTTCAGAATCCTTTTTCGCTGAACAACGCTTTTCCCTTTAATTTGAGTTGGATTGATCCGAGACTGCAGCATTTGCAACAAATAGTAAGATTTATGAGAATCACTAAAGCTTCATCTTGAAATCGTGACGGTTCATTGTGGATAAGTAATTGGCCTCCGTTACTTCCAAATAAAATTGACAACAATTGCGCAGAATAATCCGACCTTGGATATACTTTAGAAAAAAAAACGAAAAATCAAAAAGAAAAAACGTTGTTTTGATACGTAGATTCCGAAAATCGACTGAAACAGCTCTAATATGTTAACGTTGAGTCTACAACTCTGAGCTTACTAGTTTTGTTGACAAAGATGAAAATTAGAAACCACATTAAAAACATTAAAAATTTTATTACCCTTGCGATAAGTAAGAGTATTGCAATTGGGTACTAGACTTTTTCCCCGTTAACAACTTTGTCCCGAGGACTCTTACAGACTCATCTCTACCTTGTTTCAAAATGTATTCAAATTTCGCCAATTTAGCCTGGAGGAGTTAAAGAATATTCCTGGGACGGCAAAGGTGGATTCGAGTCTTACCAGGACCTATTTTTTTTTTTCAAACGGGAAAAATTCTGTTTCAAAAAAATAGGCGGCCATTTATTTGTCTGATTATGTCTTGTCAGCTTAGTTGTCACATCTTGGAATTGGTTTTTGTTTATTTTATTCTTTAAATGTTGTTTTTAGTGTTCGATTTACGCCTACATTTAGTAATTTAGTACTACATTTCGCTAAAAAATTTCTCGGCCACAATTATTTCGGCCAATTTTTTCATAGGCTTCATGACCTAATTTTAAGACGTTTCAAGATCAACACAATTTTAGCACTCTCCTCCGCAATTTTCAAGTTGGTTGTGTAATTAACAATCTGTTTGTTGAATTTTCATTTGGGAAAATTTTTCAATTTTTGTAAAAATTTTAGTTTTCTCAGAAATTTCTCCTGATTTTCAAAAAACTAGTATCAATTGACAGACCGATTATTAATCCGTGTGCCTGCGTGCTCCCCTAGAATCTGTTTTTACTTGACCCCTCTGTCTACAACCTTCGAAAAAGTGTGGGATAATATTTGACCCATGTTTTTGATTATTTTTTTGTTTTCTCGAGAACTGCCTCTCTCAAATATGAGTTTTTGGATTCAGTGGATAGAATTGTTTTGAAAAGCTCTCCTGCATAAGTGGCTATGACTAAATGTTTTTGACTCCAAAAGTTTTCCCCTCGGAAAAGTAAAAGTATTGATTTTGAGACGGTTTTTTTGAAATATTTCGACTTTCCCGAAAACTACTCCACCAAATCTCATATTGTGGGTTCAGTGAAATAACGGGTTGTGGGAAGCTCCTCTACGTTAGTGGACACTAGTAAAAAGTATTCACAAGAAGTTATCGCCCTCTGAAAAGTCAAGTTTTTGATTTTTTGATAGTTTTTTTTAAACTTTTGAATATTCTCGAAAACTACCGTGCCATACTTGAGATTTTGGGTTTAATTCTCAGACAAGGCTTCGGCAAGTTCATTTGCATATGCGACTACGCACAAATTTTTTGACTCCAAAAGTTTTGCTCCTCGGAAAAGTTTTGCTCTGTTCTCTGCTTTATTTGTGGCCATGTTTAATCTTCTATTGACGAATAATCTTCCGTGACTGAGTGTTTAGTGTTGTTATTGTTGTTGTTGTCGTTGTTGTGAATTTTCAGTAGGATACTGATGGGATGATATCGCATAGTGTGTGTGACTCTTAACCTCAAGGTCGTAGGGTCGAATCTAACTTTACCGAATTTTCGCTAGTTCGAGGCTTATTTATACTTTTTCTATTGTACTGCTTTTTGTGTTCTTGCTAGTGTTTGCGAAGCGAAGCTTCGCCTCTGTGTTAATACATGTGCAGACAATGTTTTCCTGAAATTGATAAAATAGTGTTGTTTACATCCAATTTGCAAGTGATGCGAAGGTCAGCTTCGCTTATGTATTAGCTTCTGCTTTTGGACGCGATTGATTTTCTACTTGAAGATGAGAAATGGTTGCTTACGAAGACGGAAACAAAGAGCTTGATGGAAAATTGACAGAAGAAACTCTGCGACCAAATAGTGGCACACACCTGAATGTGGGAAGTTTTCCCATTCCTTTTTCTGAAAACACAATTCTTCAGCAGCAATTAGAAGCGTTATATCAGCAAATTCACATGCAGCAGCAGATGGTTTTCAAGCAACAATGGGTTCCTCAACATCAAATGCCATTTCAGAATCCTTTTTCGCTGAACAACGCTTTTCCCTTTAATTTGAGTTGGATTGATCCGAGACTGCAGCATTTGCAACAAATAGTAAGATTTATGAGAATCACTAAAGCTTCATCTTGAAATCGTGACGGTTCATTGTGGATAAGTAATTGGCCTCCGTTACTTCCAAATAAAATTGACAACAATTGCGCAGAATAATCCGACCTTGGATATACTTTAGAAAAAAAAACGAAAAATCAAAAAGAAAAAACGTTGTTTTGATACGTAGATTCCGAAAATCGACTGAAACAGCTCTAATATGTTAACGTTGAGTCTACAACTCTGAGCTTACTAGTTTTGTTGACAAAGATGAAAATTAGAAACCACATTAAAAACATTAAAAATTTTATTACCCTTGCGATAAGTAAGAGTATTGCAATTGGGTACTAGACTTTTTCCCCGTTAACAACTTTGTCCCGAGGACTCTTACAGACTCATCTCTACCTTGTTTCAAAATGTATTCAAATTTCGCCAATTTAGCCTGGAGGAGTTAAAGAATATTCCTGGGACGGCAAAGGTGGATTCGAGTCTTACCAGGACCTATTTTTTTTTTTCAAACGGGAAAAATTCTGTTTCAAAAAAATAGGCGGCCATTTATTTGTCTGATTATGTCTTGTCAGCTTAGTTGTCACATCTTGGAATTGGTTTTTGTTTATTTTATTCTTTAAATGTTGTTTTTAGTGTTCGATTTACGCCTACATTTAGTAATTTAGTACTACATTTCGCTAAAAAATTTCTCGGCCACAATTATTTCGGCCAATTTTTTCATAGGCTTCATGACCTAATTTTAAGACGTTTCAAGATCAACACAATTTTAGCACTCTCCTCCGCAATTTTCAAGTTGGTTGTGTAATTAACAATCTGTTTGTTGAATTTTCATTTGGGAAAATTTTTCAATTTTTGTAAAAATTTTAGTTTTCTCAGAAATTTCTCCTGATTTTCAAAAAACTAGTATCAATTGACAGACCGATTATTAATCCGTGTGCCTGCGTGCTCCCCTAGAATCTGTTTTTACTTGACCCCTCTGTCTACAACCTTCGAAAAAGTGTGGGATAATATTTGACCCATGTTTTTGATTATTTTTTTGTTTTCTCGAGAACTGCCTCTCTCAAATATGAGTTTTTGGATTCAGTGGATAGAATTGTTTTGAAAAGCTCTCCTGCATAAGTGGCTATGACTAAATGTTTTTGACTCCAAAAGTTTTCCCCTCGGAAAAGTAAAAGTATTGATTTTGAGACGGTTTTTTTGAAATATTTCGACTTTCCCGAAAACTACTCCACCAAATCTCATATTGTGGGTTCAGTGAAATAACGGGTTGTGGGAAGCTCCTCTACGTTAGTGGACACTAGTAAAAAGTATTCACAAGAAGTTATCGCCCTCTGAAAAGTCAAGTTTTTGATTTTTTGATAGTTTTTTTTAAACTTTTGAATATTCTCGAAAACTACCGTGCCATACTTGAGATTTTGGGTTTAATTCTCAGACAAGGCTTCGGCAAGTTCATTTGCATATGCGACTACGCACAAATTTTTTGACTCCAAAAGTTTTGCTCCTCGGAAAAGTAAAAATTTTGATTATGTGACCATTTTTTTTTACTTTTCTCGAAATCTATCCTCCCAAATATTAGAATTTGGGTTCAGTCGAAATAACAGATTGCGTGAATCCCTTCTGAATAAAGTTTTTCTATAATTTTTTGCACAAAGCTATGATTGTCGGAATCGTCAAATTTTTGATTTGTTGTCCGTTTTTTCTCTATATTTAGCGCTAACTATCCTGCCAAATCTGATATTTTAAGTCTTATGGAATGAACAGGTTCTTGAAAGCCTTTCTTTTAAATTAGTTATGCCCAGTTTGTTTAAAAAACATGTTATAGCCTGCAAACAAGTCAAAGTTCTGAAACATTGACAGTTTTTTGCAAAGTTATTGTCAGGTTGTGTTAAATCGCGAAGCCGATTTTGGGCATCTCTCATTTTAAGCTGCCATAACCTGTTTTTTGCTGAAAACTTTATGGATTTTGGAAAGTCTTTTGATTGAACGTTTTATAGAACTTTCGACCATTTTTTCGAAGCTTTTTGAATTTTCTTAATATTTACATAAGCAAATCTGAGATGAAAAGTTCCGTTGGAAGAACGGGTTGCGATAATTGTTCCTGTAGAAGCAGCGATTCCTTAATTTTTAAAACAGTTATGTTATCTCCTTGGGAAAATTGAATATCTCAAAATTTCTTACTCTTCTCACTTATTTTAGTAGACAAACAACTCATGTTTTAGGCTAAGTCCAATTTTTGAAATCACACTTTAGTGCCGCATGAGTATGGCAACCTCGTTCAATATTAAACACGTACCTCCAGCTTTAGCTGGGCCTATAATTGTTTTTTATCGAGACTTACGAAAAATTTGGTTCACCTAGTTTTTTTCACCATCCAAAAATTTTTTAGACTTTTATTTTTTTTGTGTTGTATCGCAAGTGGTGCGAAGCTTCGCCTCTGTGTTTCAGTTTGTTTTTCGTCTCAGGCTTTTTTCCTTTTTTGTTTTTCGTCTCAGGCTGTGGTCCCTTTTTTAAAGAGTCGATGAGCGTAGTTCAGACTCTTATAGGTCGTGATGATTTTCTTCGTTTTTTTTCAGGAAAAGTCTTTAATTTCGAGGCTTCACTTTTGATTTCGTTCCAAAATCAGTTATTTTCGTTTGTTTAACGAAAATCAAACTCCAGTATCGAACAGTTTCAATGTAAAGGTCACCAGCAACGCGAATGACTACACGTTTCAAAAAATGGACTTTCAGCGGAATTTTTTAAAACTTATTGGTCCAGTTTTCTCTGAATCGGTTAACTTTTAGAAATAAGTTCCAATCATAAACAATTCATGAAATTCAAAGAGTTTTAACTTGATATATTTATTTTTTTAAAAATTGTATAGTGTTAAAAACATTTCTATCAGTTTTTTTTTTTGTTCTAAATTTTTTCAACCATCTGTTGGCTATGTTCAAAGTTTTTTGGCATATAGAGTCGTGGCTTTTCGATAAAATTAAGTTGAAGTACCGTGTGTTTTGTTTAAATTTGTTTGCTTATTTTGTCCTGTTTTGTAGGTTAAGAATGATTGATTTGGTTGTACTAGAATTTCTATCAACGGAATTTTTGATTCGACCTATTGTGCTGTTCGTGTGTTTCCATTGTCATCCAGCTTTCTTTCCTTTTGATTTTTTATGTTATTTTGAATGGCAAAGAGTTGGCGATCTTCAATTGTTTTGATCCATCCATTTCTATTATTACTCTTCTGATCAGCAAGTATTTTGCAACCGGGTACTATACGTTTTCTCTGTAAATAACTTTTTAGAAGCTGCAAGACTAGTCAAGATGAACTTTTAACATCTAAGTGTGTTTTCTAATTACACTTGCGAAGGCAAGTGTATTTTAACCGAGAACTATACGTTTAACTTCTCACTTGGCCTGTTTGTACTACCGTTGCGTTTGCGACCTATGATCTGGGTTTCGAGTCCCGATCAAACCTCGTTTTTTTTCAGTGTCTGAAGTTGAATTTTTTCCAGGCAAAACTGAATGATCGGACTCTAGTTTGTCGGCTTATGTTTTGTCGGCTTTAAAAACGTTTTGTCGTCGTTCTTAAGTGTCGTTGACTAACTCCTGCTGTTTCTTGCTCAGAAATTTTCATTCGGCCTTAATGATTTCGGCTCATGTTTTGTTAGTTTTAGAGAACTTATTTTGCATCGGATTCAAATTTTTAATCGAACTTTTTTATGACAATAATTTCCTTTGACGCTTTTTTGTTTTCGGATCAAATGGCGTCTAAACTCGTGTTGATGGCTTAGTGAACAATCGCAAAATACTTAAAGCTTGTTTAATGATAATGGCTTTTTTTCTCGTCTGTTTTTCTCAGATTGAGTTTTATGTATTTCAAGTTTCGAATTAGTTGTTTCCAGCGCACTGTCTACTTGGTAGCTTGCAATGCCACGCTTTCGTTGAATCGCATGTGATGCGAACACCTCTGTGAGCAATGATTGATATTGCAAACTTTTTCAAAATTAAATTGATTGTTTGTCGGCTTCATGGGTTTCGTCCCAACTACTTGTTTACTTGCCGGATATTTAGATTTTTTAAATAATTTTTCGATTCAGTTGTTAGACATATATCCATTTGCCTTATAATAAACTCAAATTCAATCAACCATCCAGCGCATCTGGCGTAGAGGTAACATGAGGTGAAAAGGCTTGAGACGAGAACTAGAAATTTTATGTTTTTTTCTGACTATCGTTTCGCTTTTTTGTCCGCTTAGATTCAGTATCACGATCTCTTTTTCCAGAATCAGTTTTTTTCTCACTTTCTGAGTGCCATTAGTGGAATTGCTTCAATCACAAAGCTATTTGCAGAAGTTTTTTTTGCATTTTTACACATGCGACTTTTAGGGATTAGGGAATTATTACACATGCGATTTTTAAGGAATAATTAGGGAATTACACATGCTATTTTTTGCTCGCAATAAGTACTGTCAGCTTGATACCTATTTTTCAAAGACTTGTTGGCTTTTGTCCCAATTTTTGTCTGCTAATTTGTGCTATGTTTGTGTTGCAAGTTTTCTGCTTTATGGTTGTCGACTTAAACTCTGTCGGTTTAGTTTTCTTATTGTGTATACCACCTTGCACTCATGCATTTATGGAATTCATAGACACTACGTGGGCAGTATATGTAGTTTTTTTCCAAAAAGATTTTTGATGAAAAATTTCTGCTGATTCTCAGTTTATTGGCCGATGGCTTTATTTCTGTCGGCTTTTCTACCGAATGTTTTGTTTCCTACATTTTTTTTCAAGATCAATAAGAGTCTGGAACTCTATTTTCGAATGCTCAAATTTAGCCCCAAAACTAAATAAATTTAATCCTGAAAAATTTCTCAATTTTGTTGTTTTCCTAGTTTTTTCAATTTCATCGATTGAAGTCATCTTTGCTACTTCTTGAGGGTCATGCTGTTTTAATCCTATACTTTTGGTATTACTCAGCTTAGGCTCTGTTTTAATTTTTACCCTATCGATGAGCAGGGTATTTCTACCGGGTATTCAATTTTTTGCAAATTCCAATTAACTAATTTAATCTGATATGCACTGATGTAACGCAAGTGCTTGAGACGACGGAGGTCCGGGGTTTGAGTGCGGTCAGGAGATGTACTTCTTGCAAAATTTTTTCATATGCTTATTTGTGCCAGTTTATCTTCCACAGCCCGAACTCATATTGTGATTTGAGCAATTTATACTATAACTGAAAGTTATTTTGTCTTGTTCCTGTAATGTGAAAATTATCACCAATTTTGTATAATTGCGTCTATCTGAGTATTACCGGCTGAGTTAGTGCTGGATAAAATTTGTCTAAAACGCTAATCTAACGCTGGCATTTATGTTTTTTAATACATGTTTTCCTCGAATTGAGCTTCACTCAAGACCAACGCATGAAACTATTTTTCAAATCGTTTTTTGGACTTCGTCTAATTAGTGTTTTTCGTCTAGTTTTCTGTCGACTGGCTTGTCATGCTATGTTTGTGCTTTTTTACAAAAGAGCGAAGCGCAGCTTTGCCTTGTGTTGAAATTGGCAAGATTCAATCATTTCGAAGTGTCATTTTAGGGTCAACCCAGTCCGCAAAATCTAGCGGGACAGGTTCAGCCGCAGTCTGCGTCTAAAGACAGTCCCAATCAAGAAATTAGAGCAACTGGTCGACAGGAAGTTTTAAATAATAGTCCCTTAGAACTGAATGCGAACTTGGAAGCCAACGATGAGAATGAAGCTCAGCAGAAAAGTGAACATTCCAGTGAAACAAAAACTAGTCCGTTGGAACCGATTGAAGTTGGAACTGAAAAGAACAAAGGTGTAGCTGCAGAGCCTGTATATGGGAAAAACGAAGAGCCAGCGGTCGAAAAGGTGCAATTTTTATTCAAAATATCTTCAATTTTTGATTCTTTGTAGCATGAATTAATGTTCGAGAAGGTTATTACTACCTACTATAAACAAAAACAATTATTCTATTTAGGAAACAGAAAAGATACCCGTTGAAGTTAGTGCCTGCTATGATTTGAATAATCCTCAGAGACGGTTCGACGAGCAGCCTGTCGGAGGAGCAGCTGCTGCAGGTACGCCAAGGCGGAGAGTTATCTCTTTTTTTTTAGCTGGTTCCTTCCAAAGTATCTGTTCAAATCTCAATTGCTATCCATTTTTTTTTAAAGAAAAGAGGATTTAAAATAGCTTAATTTATTATGAGTTGGAGCGTAGCAATCTGTTAATGTTTCAAAATGATGCTTCATTGCTTATCATCTTGACGAATTTTTTAAAATCTGTATAGGAAAGTCTTTCGATCAAATTCTGCTCGAAAACCTGAGCAAGAGCGAGGGATTGAGTGGTGGTCAACCTAAAACAGTGATGGCTACTTCAAGCGTCATGACTACTAAGCCTTCAGCTGGCCATGAGAAGGGTCCAGTGAAACGGAGGCCCTTTCTGAAGCGGGGCACTGGGTTGAGTAGATTTGCACCCAAGAAGCAGCCAGACAACCAGGAGCAAGACAGTTTTGATGGAAAGACAACACAGTCAAACTCACAAGTGCGATATCCGAAATCAGTCGACCAGTCACCAGCATACACAAATGATTTGTTAGTAAAATGTGTCATAATGATTTAAATTCATTTTTTTAACTTGTTTTGCTTGGGCTGCTGTATTGTGTTTCAGAGTCGATGAACGTAGTTCAGACTTTTATATACACCGCGATGATTTTTTCAGGGAAAGTCTTAATATTTGTTCAGGTTCAAATTGAATTTTCCGCGGTTTGAATTTCGATTTCTTTCTTTTTAAGTTTAGTTCTTTTCATTTGTTAAAAGGAAGGTAAACTCCACTATCGAACAGCAAAAGTGTAAAGGTCACGAAAATCATGAACGAGTTCTAGTTTTGAAAGTGGAAATCATTTTTCAGATTTCCCAGCGGAAAAAAATTTACCTATTGATCCAATTTTCTCAAAATTGGTCAATTTTAACTGTTCTAGAAACTCCGAGCTTTAAGGGCATCTATTATTTTCTTTGAAGTTCGAAAGTTTTTCAAAAATAAGTCAGTATTTTTTTTCTCTTTACTTGCATTCATTCTCTTTTCCAACTGTCTGTTGGATATGTTTTTAAAAAGTTTAAGTCTAGATATGTACCGCCAATTTTGCACGTATATAATTTCTTAGCATATATATTTATAAGATTATTGATGCAAGCTTTCCGAACTTCAATGTTAATTTTTTTTCAGGGATTCACACAGGCGAAGAACTTCCAGTCCTAAATTGAGTTCTGCGAAGCAGAGTTTCAGCGGTAAAAACGCTAAGAACCTCAACGACTTTGTCAAAGACGTGGTCGAAGATATGATTCCCGATAATGATGTTAAATCCAACCTGGAATCGGATGAATTTCATCCAACCATCCAAGAATGTGAACATCAACCGTATAAGTACGAGCCAACAACGCAGAATACTTTTTTACCTATGAAGTACTCAGGAGGATCTGGTTTCAGCTTACCAGTGAGTTTATATGCTCTTAATTGCTTTAGAAGGGGACTGTAAGGTCTGTTTACACAAGCAAAATCGCATATTTTAGAGTATCTTGAGCGTTTTCTTTGTGCATTCTCGACTGAATGATATCGAACTACAGATGCGTGAAATTAGTGGGAATGGTGAATCGCTTAATTAACGGGAGTCATAATTTTAAACGGCCATGTTTGCTGTCTACCGCAGTCTCCGAGGCATATACAAGGAGAGTCCATTTTTTGAAGGCATATATATTTTTTCAGCATTCTTGCCGTGTTTGAGAGCTCATTATTGCCGTTTTTGCTCGGTGTTTCAAACTGTAGCTTTGGATCCTTTAGATGTGGAAGGACGTTGAGCCAAATGAGCGTATGAATGGGACAGCAGAAGATTTGGAGCTGTTTGAGCTTCTAGAACAGGCAGCGGACACCTCCGGATGCTCAAACGTATCTATGCTTCTGCAGTACATTGCGAGCAACCCATCAGCTGCTCATAATTTCAAAACACCGAACATTTCGAGAGAAGTGTCTCCTTTAAAACATTTCCCAACTGAACCGAGTATGCCAATTTGTCACGAAGAAAAAGAGCCTAGTTTAAGTTCTCGGGATCATAAAGGCGATTATGATGAAGATAAGGCTGCCAATGAGCCTTCTTGGCCTCACGTGACATCAGAAAGGAATCGACTAACAGATGATTACGAGGAGGGTACATCACGTAGTCCAGAAGTTGAGCGAAAAATTGCAAGTAAAGCGGAAGTTAGACCTCAACACCTATTCGCAGATGAGAGCTGTTTTGACGATACAATTGCAAACACCTCCTATAACTCAGAGCAATTAGACCAAAACGTGCAGGATAGCAATGACTATGATCATTTTGGTAATGACGTACAAGATAAAAATCAAGATGAAGCGTTTTCTGTTCCATCGAAGTCGGATAACCCAATTGACTTCATTGGGAGTATTTCAACTTGTGAGAGTCTTCTGGCTGGAAGTATAGTTCCTGTGCGATCCTCGACGCCTCCGCTGCGTAAATTGGCTTCAAAAAGTCAGTAGACGTTTTTCAAGATTAAACTATAAAAAAAATGTAATTAGAGTGAAAGGTATTGTGCAAAATTATGTAACAGGCTTTTAAGTTATGACGTAATTTAAGGGTTAGAGCAGAGTGGAGTGGCTGACACCCTGGCTGAGTCGAGATATGCATCTGGTGGCGAAACAAAAGATGAGCGAGAAGCGACCCTGAAAGGGCTTTTTCCAAAACTCCAAGAAACGGATTTAAAGGTAATTGCCAAGATTGGAATACATGCTATGTGTTACAAGCCGATTATGCAATGAAGTATTTAGTTCTTACAGGCGACCTACAATGTTGGTAAGAGCGAGAAGAATAGTGACGCGTCACTGAATGAGAAGCTGAAGGAGAAGTTGAATACCCTGGATGAGGAGATCAAGAGGTACAGACAGGAGAATGCGGCCATCGAACAGATCCGCCGTGAAAAAGAGAAGGTATGTGTTTCCTGACATGTACATGATTTTTACTTTTTGGTTTATCTCTTTATGAATGGGTTCGGTTTTTTGCTCAGAAACTGCAAGAATTCAATATGGAGGTGTCCAACTTCCAGAATCAAAGGGACGAAGAGTTTAAGCGAATAGAAAATTACAGGCAGCAAGAAACTGCAGCACTCAAGTAAGTATGTTCCTTATGCGGAGCATTTGAAATGAGAACAATAAATAGGTCGCTTACTAAAAAAAATTTTTGTTGGAGAAACAAAACAGTTGTTGATATTTCTGAATAGTTAGTGAACGAAGTGACAGTTCAATAATTCAGTTTGTTTGTCTTCAAGAGACTCCTCTGCAACTATCTGTTGGTCTTGTTTTTTTGCAAGCGGGTAGTAGAATTTTCCCTCGGAAATAAATAGCTTCACATCAAGGTCAAATGTTGAATTTTATAACTAAAAGGATGGCATCGTTGGAGTGTATTAAGGGCATATGAAAGTTAAGAGTTGCAAAGTAATTTTACTCTGCACCAAATGATTTCGGTAGATTTTTGGCTCCGTGGTCGGTCGGCTTTGTTTCAGTCGACTTCTTTTTCTAATGTTTTTGTTCCGACCATTTGCAAAATGTGGAGGAACTTTGTATTAGGGTGTTTTAGTTTCTTAAACGCAAAATCAGGTACCACAAATAATCATCCGAATGAGTCGAGTTATATATCATATTAAAGCCCCTTCAATTGTTATTCGAAGGATATTTCAAAATTTTGAAAAAAACATCGGATTGTTGGTATAATTTCAAGCTAAAAAAGCGAGGCTAAGCAGGCTTACAAAAGCTTATTTTTGCTCAATTTAAGCCGGGAAAACTTAGTTTTACTCGAGTCAAGTTAGTTTTTAGCGCCAGTTTCAGAAACGAAAACTTTCTGCAAAAACATTGAATTTTTTCAAATTTTTTTGTCTTTTTTTTCAAAACCTGTTCGCCAATTAGCCTTTTTTACTATGAATGCTGAATGTGCCTCATGAAAATGGTTTAAATTTTTTTTGAATTTTTTTAGTTGAAAAAAAAATCATTTTTTTGGTTCTTACTTTTTTAATCAACTTTGATTGCAATTTTTGTTGATTTGGCTGCGCGATCTGCTGTAATTAGTAAGCGCGATCTGCTGTAATGATTAGATTGATTAAACTTTACACTAATAGTATATGAAGTAAGAGACCAATTTGGCCTGTTTAATTCGAAGATAACGTCCATGCTTGAGACGACAAAGGTACGATACTGGCCAGGAGCTGGTTTTTTTTTCATAAAATGTACTTTTTTCGGAGCAAAGTGTTTCTGCTCAAGAGTTGTTGGCTTTGTTACCTCTTTGTAGGTTTTGTTTCGATGCTTTTAGCCTTCTTCTTTTTTTCATTTTCTTGGCATACTTTTTGGAAAGAATTCGAGACGAAATGAAGTCAAATGTAGAGAATTTTTTAGTAGATCAATTTTTTGATATCTCGCAAAAAAAATTAGGCGGCTTTCATCTCTGTTTTAGACGATTAATTTATCATGATTTGTATGTGTTAAATCGTTTCGCTTAGCCTCTATTTGTACAATTTCTAAAGGTGCATGTAATTCTGTTACAAGATTTCGTTTTTTGGAATTTAAATAGTTTTCAACAACAATTTCAAGTTTTTTTGATTTCTCGGTTTATATGCAAGTAGTGATAGTCATTCAGTTTTGTATTGCAAGTGTTGCAAAGCTCTGCGTCGCCTGTATTTTGAATATCGCTTATTTTTGCAAGCTCAGTGAATATTTGCCAAGGACCAGAAAATCGTCAATATTTATACGCGATTTTTGAGACTAATCTGATGTTTTTTATTAATCTGATGGGTGTTAGGAAGGAGCGGAAGGTGTTTGAAGAGGCTCAGAGGGCAGCTAAAGAGAGTCTCACAAAGAGGGAGAGGGAGGAGGTGGAGAATCTGAAGAAACGACTACATGCCGTGGAAAAAGAACTCAAGCAGAAGGTAGATTGATTAAACTTGCGTTACAGAGCGAGTCGATGTTGAAGCTATTGAAAAAAGCTTAGGTAATTATAAGAGAAATGAAAGTTACTGAACGAAAATCTTAGATTGTGTTATACACGCAAGGTTAGATTGTGTTATACCACCCAGGCTATTTCGAGAATTTTTAAAACGGGTCGCAGAGTGCATTGTAAAATTTCATTGCGAAGTTTTTCTGGTACTTGCAGAAGCGAGGTTGCGGGTCCAGTGATTTTGAAAAGCATGATCTTTTGTTGTTTAATTAAATCACATTTCTTGCTACCCTTTTATAATTGAATCATGAGATTGTTGGCATGAGGCAGCCGAAATAATGGTGCAAGTAATTATCTATGCAGCCGGGGGATGGAATCCCGTAGTCTTCGCAGTAATATTTTCAAGCTGTATTATTTTTCAAAGCTTATTTTTAGCCTTTCATTTGAGTTTGTGAAGCTCAATTTACTTGTCGGCGAAGTCTAGCTTAAAATTTAGCTGAAAGTCTTTTTGTTTTTTGAACTTTGACCTTAAAATGAAACTTAGCACGTGTTATAAAACATGGGAATTTTAAAGAGTCGATGAACGTAGTTCAGCCACTTTTATAAGTAATGATTTGTTTTCCGTTTTCTTTCTTAGGAAAAGACTTGGAGTTTGTTCAAGCTCAGCTTTAATTTTTTGTGGTTTGATTTTTGATTTTTTTCGAATTCAGTTTATTTTCTTTGTGAAAGGAAGGCAAACTCCACTATCGAACAGCAAAAGTGTAGAGGTCACCAAAAACGTGATTGACTTAATCGAAAATTGAATCTATATTTTAAAGAAATGCTGGCTTCTCTATCTTGCCACGTTTTAGCCTTTTCAATGTATTTTTTGCATATTACACGAAAAAAAAATTTCACGTTTAAGCTATATCGTATATTGCACTGGTTACGAAATTTTTTCGACTTTCCAGTTTGAATTCAGTGTTTATTTCACCAAGTCTAAAAATGAGAAGCACAATAGTGGGATGCTGTCAGGGTTCCCCAGTAGTTGCGAGTTTGGCCTCCAGTTATGAATGCCCAAATCCTTTTAGTGTACGAGATATGACAATTTTTGTGATTTTTTTTTTGTAATTTACGAGATATGACAATTTTTGTTAATTCCCAACGTTGTAGTTGGGTTTTGCGAGGCTACTATCATGAGCTTCAAGTTGCAAATCTTGAGTTCAAATGCGACTGCTCTAATGCTCTTAGTTTCCGAGATGTGACGTTTGTTATGTCTTTTTTTAAAATTATTCAAAGAACTTGAATATAAAAAATTCACAAAATTCGAAGTTCCCATTTCTATAGTGAGGCTCTGACAGAGTACTCCCAGGAATTGCGAGTTTTGCTGCCAAATATGACTGCTCAAATCTCTGTAATTTTCGAGGTATGACGTTTTTTTTTCACAAAATTTTCAGAAAATTTATGTTTTGTTTTCGAAATTTGATATTCCTAACCCCGTAGTTGGGGCTTTCAGAGTACTCTCAGGGGTTGCGAATCTTGCCTCCAAATACGACTGCTCAAATATTTGTAGTTTTCGAGATATGACGTTTTTAATGGTTTCAATAAGTTTTTTTATTGAAAATTTAAATTTGGAAGTTTTTCAAAATTTGTAGTTCTCAACTCTGTATTTGGGTACTGTCGGTTTACTCTCAGTGGTTGCGAATTTTTCCTCCAAATTGGACTGCTAAAATTGTTTATAGCTTTCGAGATATGACGTTATGTTGTTTTTTCGAAATGGGGCAATGCGGCACTTTTCAGGCCCACATAGCTCTAAGGGAAATGTTTCCGACTACCGAAAGGAAAGAAAGCAGGGTAAATTTTTGGTATCAAGTTTTATTCGTTTCAGAATTCTGTGCTACTTCAGCAAGTAGCTCAGAATGCTCCGAATATATTTTAGTTAAGAGTAATGAACGTAGTGAGTACTCTTATATAGGTCTTGCTGTTTTTTTTTCAGGAAAAAGTCTTAAACGTTGTTCACGCTCAATTTTGATTTTTCGCGGTTTGACTTGTGATTTTTTTTTCAAGTTCAGTGCATTTCTATTGTTAAAAGGAAGGCCAACTCCACTATCGAGCATCAAAAGTGTAAAAATCACGAAAAACGTGATCGAATTCTAACTTGGCAACTGGAAATTATTTATCAGATTTCCCAGCGAAATAAAAGTTATACCTATTGATCCAGTTTTCTCAAATTGGGTTAATTTTAACAAAAAAGTGTCCATCATAAGTTTTTTTACAAATTGAAAGAGCTTCAAGGCCATCTATTTTTTCTTCGAATTTCAAAAGTTGAAGACTTTTTGAAAAAAACAAGTCAGTTTTTTTTTCATTGCGTTCATTACTCTTTTTTTGCAACTGTCAGTTGGCTATGTTTATTTGAAAAAGCGTTTTCAAATCAGCAGTTGAATTTTTAATTTGATTCATTCTTTCACTGTCCATGCAAAGTGAAACTTCGCCCCTCAAGTATATGCTCAGCATGTGCTTTATGCTGAATCTGAGCGAGGGTTGATTGCGGTTGGTTGATTTATTTTAAACAGGTTTCACTGCAGCGTCTTGCTGATGAGATTTTTGCTGTAAGAGTATATTGGATCATTAACCAAGCAACGCCTGTCGTTAGACCAGTTTTTTTAAGAGTCGATGAACATAGTTTTTATCTGTTTAAATAAAGCAAAATCATTGCTGCATAGTAATTTCTTTTCAATGATTTGTGAAAGCAATTACTCGAATGCTCTTAGAAGCCGACTGTCAGTGGACTGTCTAAGTGTTTGCCTATCTCGCACAAGATAGATATTGGGCTCCATTGGCAGCGGTCGCAAGATTTTCTTTTCATACTCATTTCATGTTTGATTGATTTTTAAGAGCTCAATTTTCCCCGGTTATTTGTTGCCTGCGTTTTCAAAGATTCGCCTCAGAGTAAAGAAGCGTATTGCCGCCTTGCGAGGAAAGGATAACTATATTCCTTTAAGTCCAGATGGATATTATCTAGATATGCAGGTCTCTGGGTTGAGATGACGCGCGTTAAATTTCTTCGGGCGCAGAAGGCGTTCATTAATTTTTGAGCAAGATTAAGTTGATTTTAAGTGACACTGAAGATCTTAAATAATTACATATGAGTTCAGAGAATTTTCATTGGTTTTAGTGTTTTTTATTCCGATCACTCTCACTTCTTTCAGGCGGTTTTGACTACCACAAAGGAAGCTCTTAGAGTTTAAAATGTAGTGTCTTATTTAACTTTCGCTCGCAGACATAGTTGGATAAATTTTTTACTTTTCAGGTTTTTTTATCACGAATCAATCGAGTTTTACAAGTGGCTTAAATAAAATCCATCTTAATTTTCTCCTGAAACCACGGTGGTCGGTATTTATTTCTAAACGCTAATATTTTTATTGTTCCGACCATTGATTTGGGTGTTTTAGTGCTTTGTTTTCCACGCAATGTCAGGTACCATAAATTAACATTGGAATTGGTCATACGATTTATCATGTTCACGATATTTTTGTCGTTATTCAAACGACTCTTAAAATTTTTTTTTAAAATTCTTTCATCACATCACGCTCAATAACGACAGCAATTTGGAGAAAAAAAACCAACGTTTTTGTTGTAGTTCTTTTTTATGAATGTGGTATGAATATTTTGATTCATTTGAAAGCTGGTTTTTACAATTCATGAACCGAAGAAAAAAAACATAATTTTTCTACTTGCAGTTTTATAAGTCGATTTAGTTTTTGAGTGTTAATGAGCGTACTGAAGATGTATATGTCGTGTTGATTTTTTTGTATTTTTAAATTAGTTTTTCAACATATAAAAAAATCCGAAACAAGTCTCATGTGTCCAAAGTTGTATAGGTCAGTAACCCGAGTATAACTTCACAATTTAACAAAAATCAGGTGAGAAAATAGTGAGCGGGCAGTGAGGAGTTGGACCGTTAACACCAATGCCTGGCCAGCAGTAAAGTGTTTAAATTAGTTCTAAACTTCGATCACGCTAAACTTGATCTTTTGCGTTTTGGTTTTTGATTTTTCTTAAGTTCAATTCGAATTCATTTGCTACAAGGGATGCAAATAAGCCTTTCCAATTCAGGTTTAGGTTCAAAAACGGATCTTCTTCTTTAGGTTTTCCTTCGGAATACAAAAACCTTTGGCAGTTTTCTCTGATTGAGGTAGTTTTTATAAAAAAAAAATAAATTCTTGAAATTCAAAGAGCTGTCTCCTTGAGCTCTCTAAATTTTTCCAACTGTCTGTTGACTATGTTTAGAATTGCCAGTGCTATCATAAAAGTTTCAGCCTTGAAATATTATGAATTTCAAAGAGCTTTAATGGGATGCAATTTGTTTTCGAAAGTTGAGAAAATGTAGATTTTTTTTCGGTTCGCTTGTTCATTAGCACTTTTTGTTAATGTATCTTTGAATATGTTTGGGAACAGTTACTTTTTTTTAAATAAATCCTTAAGCTGTTGATTTGAAGGAGGCCAAATGGAGCAGTACAGTGGAAAGACTGAACAACACAGTGCAGACTCAGAAGAAGCAGATCGAGGAGCTGAAGACAGCCAATCAGCAGCTGGAACGACTTAGAATAGAACACATGAAGAAACAGGCGGCCACCTCGGCGGCAGCCAAGAACACTGCTGCACAGGTGAGATTTGATCACATCTGTTTGATGACTGTTAGTTACAATTTGATGTCTATTTTTATCCATGTTTTGTCGCGCTAACAACAATACGGTTATGAAAAAAAAATTGCGACTATACGCTTTGAATCTGGCAAGTTTTTTTTTCCTGGTTTAGCCAATTCCTATTTATGTTGTCTAATTATTTAACTAATAATTTAACTCTTGAAAATCAATTCAGAATTAGAAGTATGTTTTTTTTTGGATTGGCCAAGATTCGTTTTTAGAAACCTGCAAATGCGTTGGACCTGATTAACAAAAAGTTATCTGCCCAGCAGTCAACGGTCACTAAACCAGCTATCAGCAATGCTAAACCGAAGAAGGAAGAGAAAAGCAACACTTCCGAGCCGCCAACTGAAACGACTAAATCAAAATCAGCTACTATTACTAGAAGTAGTTCACTGAAAGCTAATCAATCGGGAATGCGAAAGACAGCGACTGTATCTTTTGACGCAAAACCGAAGGTTGATGATACGAGACCCAATAAGGGGCCAAGTGTTCAAATGGGAATGTCTTCGCCTGAAAGTAGAACTCAAGTTTCGTCCTCTGTTCCAGAACAGTCATTGGAGCATCAGACTCACTCTACTCATGATGTTACACATAGTCTCGACTCTAGTTCTTGCGACGTGGTTAGTACAGTTTATAGTTACTGGTTGTGAAAAACCATTGATCCAAAGTTGACATCATTCCAATATAATTTTGCTGCGATCTCATAGATTCTGGTTGCGAAGTTTGAGTAGACTCGATAATTGAGTCGCTAAAAACTTCAGCTTTAGGCGCTAAATAGTCTATGCTGAACTGATTGTTGGCTGATTTCTGATAGCGTGCAGATAATGTTCGCTTTAGGTTGAGAATAAACTGGCGGATGGGATGGTGGAGTTCGTGTTTAACAATGGCACCCGCAAAGAAGTCTCCCCTGATGGAAAGAGTGTCACCATCTTCTTTTTTAACGGAGACTACAAGAAGACCAGCCAGGACGGATCTGTGGTGAGTGCAGGGGCGAGGGAGATATCTCATGATATGTGAATTAAGGAAATTAAAGTGATTGAAGGGGTTATCAAATTATCCAAGAGTAATTCCGTTAGCTTTTCGACAAATGCAGTGGTCATTACCAGTGATGTCCATTTAAAAAAACAAATTAAATGAGGTTAAATTTTTACTTCAATTTTAATTTATTCAAATGTAAATTTTGAGTCCAGTTAATTTAAATAAAAGTTTTAGCTTAAATTGAGCAATTCAAATTGAAAAAAAAAATTGCCGGAGCGGAATTCGATCCTACGCCAAACTACACCTTTTAATCATGCCAATTAATTTCTTAATTCAGAGTTCCAGGAAAAAAGCAAACAACCTGAGGTTTTCACGACAAAATAAGTAAAATTTGATAATTTTGTGGTTGTATGCTTGCTCGAAAAAATTGCTTGCTCGAAAAAATTGCTTTCGATTTGTTTGCTTACGCTTGCGATTAGCAAGCGTTATCAAATCGCAAGATAGAATTTTTGTCTTAGCAATTAGTTAAACAGAATCACTTGAATCAAGTCACCTTTGGTTCATATAAAATCAAACGTCAGACTTTACTTCGAGTATTTGGCGAAGAGCTAAAGTAACTGCTTATAAAGACAAAGGTCAATGGTTCGAATCTTGCGAGGACCTGTTTTTTTTTGTGAGCGGAAAATTGTCCGCGGGTCAAAAAATCTTTGCCGGACTTCTGTTTGTCTGCTTTTTGTCGGCCTAGATTCCGCAGTACCAAGTTTACCTAAAAATTAAGCATTTTCCACTCAAATTAAAAATAAAACATTTCAGTGTATTCCGGTTTTGTGCAAGTAATTGAGTTCCAAGAAGTTTTGTCTATTTTTTGATTTTTTCATGTTAATGTAAAATTTTTGGAAGTCCTTGTTTCTTTAACTTCAAGGATTGTTCTGTGCATTTGGTGCAGTGGTAACACTCATGCTTGAGACGACAACTCGCAGAGGTTCGATTTAAGTCCTGTTTTTTGTGGAAACTGAAAATGTTCGACTATTTAAGACTTTCGTGCCTGCTGAGTTTTGTCGGCTTAGGTCCCGCAGAAAAGTTCGGTTTCTTCGTATCATTTTGAAATATCTTTAAAAAGTTTCTATGGTGCAAGTATTTTGTTTCAGGAATGTTTCGTTCCTTTTTGCTATGTTTATAACTCTATTTGACAAAACAAAAAAGAATTTTTTTTAGAGGTTTTTCGATTTTTGATTTGTATTCTTAAGAGTAATGAACGTAGTTATAAATGTCTTGCTGATTTTTTTTCAGGAAAAAGTCTTAAAATTTGTTCATGCTCAATTTTAATTTTTCGCGGTTTGAGTTGTGATTTCTTTCAGTGCATTTCTATTGTTAAAAAGAAGGCAAACTCCACAATCGAACAGCAAAATTGTAAAGGTCACGAAAAACGTGATCGACTTCTAATTTTGAAAATGGAAATTAACTATCAGATTTCCCAGCGAATTAAAAATTATACCTATTGATCCAGTTTTCTCAAATTGGGTTAGTTTTAACAAAATATTCTACATCATAAATTGTTCTACAAATTTAAAGAGCATAAAGGCCATCTAATTTTTATTTGAAATTCAAAAGTTTTTTTTTTTCAGTTTTCTTGCGTTTATTACTCTTTTTTTTGTAACTGTCTGTTGGCTATGTTCATTTGCTGGTAATCATTGCCATTCATTTTTGTGTCGCAAATGATGCGAAACTCCCTTTCCCATCTGTCGAAATTGCAAAATGTACACAAAACTAGTAAACAAAAAACTGTTCAAAAACTGAATTCAGAAAAATTTAAATTGCTAAAGAAAAACTTAAATAGTTTTGGAACAACTTTAATTGGTGCCAACAATTTCTATAATTTTTATTATTTTTTAAATGGACATCACTAGTCATCACACTATTTTCCTTATCTGGTCAAAATGATTGAGTTTTTACTATTTCCGATTAGTTGATAAATGTATCTGTTTTAGTTGTACTACTATGCGGCCACTAAGACTACTCAAACTAAATATCCAGACGGACTAGAAGTACTCCAGTTCGATTGGTAAGGGACATGCTTATCTTACAGCGAAACGAAAAAAAAATATCTGTTTTGCATAATTTTAATAAATAACTGGTTGCATCTGGATTATGTTTGAATTAAACTGGGATGTTGTTTTCGCTTCCTTTGGATTTAGCTCACTTGTACCTACATGTCCAAAGTTTACACGTGAATAATGAAGTATATGAGCGTCTGGACTGTTTTGACAAAGAATAGTCAGTATAGAACAGGTTTGCTGGAGCATTCAATATTCATTACACTTTACTGCTAGTCTGAAAATGGTAACATTACTAGATTTGTTGAATCAAAAATATCTATAATTTTGAATTTTTGAAAAATGTTTTGGAAATCACGGTAGTTTGCAAAATCATGTCTGAGTGCGTCAAACATTTGCTAGCCTTTCTGTGATTGCCAAAAGAATTTGTGGATGGTTGTTTAAGCATATCATTTCTGGGTTCAAGTACATTTGGTACTAAGTCTATTTGCACTATAGAATAGTGTTGGCTGGTGGTTGCATGCTAATAGATAGAAAAAGCTATGGATGCTTTATTGCTGTTTTGTTTTCTTATCGAATCTTTGAGTGATTGGTGGTATTGTTTTAATGTGTAGTGGTCAGATGGAGAAGCATTTGGTGGATGGTACAAAGGAGATCTTCTTCCCAGACAAGAGTGTGAAGGTGTGCTACTCGGACGGCCAGGAAGAGACTACTCTAAGTGACGGCACTGTCCTACACACCCACCCCTCCTCCCACACCAAAACCATCTTCTACCCCAACGGACAGAAGGAGATACACACGCCACAGTACAAGGTATAGTTACCCTATCACACAGCTATTTAATTGGTAGGGCCATACTTCGTAACAGGCAACAGTTGGTGACAGGCGACAATTTGTGACAGGCGACAATTCGTAACAAGGCATTGGTAAGTAGAACGCGCTTGCTGCGATGCGCTTACATGCGGTATGAGAGGAATAGTGCGCCATGAATCAGTTTTCCCCGCTTAACCTACTGTTACGAATTGTCGCCCCACGCATTTAAGTTTAGCCCAACCACAGTAGAGTGAATGCTTAACCCAATATGAGTACAATGTAAATGGACAACGAGCTAGACATCCAAAAGTTCTCTTTTTTCAATTATAGGATGTTGAGAGATTGAAAGCAGGGACATTTCGATTTCGATTACATCCTGCAATTATTCGTGCGTGCGATGCGCTTCTATTCAAACTGAAATTGTTTTTGATTTATTAAATTTACCAAGCTTTCTACTCTTCAGAAGCGAGAGTACCCGGATGGTACGTGTAAGATCCAGTACCCGGACGGGAGACAAGAGACACGCTACTCCTCTGGCAGAGTGCGCATCAAGAATGCTGCTGGAGAAGTACTCGTAGACCAATACGTGTCACCACAACACCCAAATCATAACACATCAACTAGTGCAGATTTCAACAACAGAGGTCATGTAGAAAATGTTGCAAATACAGACTCTCAGGCTGATCAACTCAGTTACGATTGTTAATGTCGTAGACGGCATAATTAATCTAATCTATAGATATTTTTGAATTATATACTACTGAAGTTTGAATTGATTGTATAGCGCTTGTTTGTATCTTTTTAAGTCACTGTTCGATTCTAATTGATTATTTGATAGTCTAGATTTTAGTTATAAAGAGCAGTCAAAAAACAAAGGTAGACGTTTATGCGAACACAATTTTTCAACACTTGTGGTTAGCACGCATCATCAAATTAGACCTTTTCCGGGAATGGTAGAGATATATATTTTTTATAAACGTTTTGACCATATTTAGTTTTTGAATGATCGCTCCAGACAACCAATTTTTCAGCAGAAGTCGCACATTATGAGTTAACGTTTTTCTTCAGTGTTATTGTGCAGACCATTGAAAATGGGGAGTAGCTTATGTCTTCGGGTGTATTAGTTTTTTTTTATTTCTAAACAAAATTAGGTACACAAATAATCATCGCTATGAATCGAATAATTTTTAAAGTCGTCTAAGTCGTGATTCGAACGACCTTAAAAATTTCCAATAAGTTTCTGTGTCGAGAAAAACGGCTTGATTTTTAAGTTTGTAGTCTAATTTCGAGCGAGTAAAGCGAGCAAGTAAGTAGGTCTTATTACTTTTGCAAGCTTGCGACCAGTGTATTAGTACCTTTTTTCTAACCTTACTCCCAAATCAAAGTGTTCATTAAAAGATTTCATTTATTTGGGGGCACTTTTGCTATAATCACGATATGTAATATAGGAAATTTTATATAATCTGTTTTATTTGTGGCTAGTGCTTGTGATTAAGAGTAATGAACATAGTTAAGGCTCTTATATAGGTCTTGCTGATTTTTTTTTCAGGAAAGTCTTAAAATATTGATTTTGAGTTCAATTGAAATTCATCTGCTGAACGTGACGTAAATAGCTCTCTGCAAATACGAACGTGCAAATGGTTGGTGCAAACAATCGTGAAATACTTCTAGTTTCGAAAGTGGAATTTTGGCTTCAAGATTTCCAGCGGAATAAAAACTTTACTCGTTGATCAAGTTTTGTCAAGTTGGATTATTGTTATCAAAAAAGCGCCAATCATAAATTATTCTCGAAATTCAAAGAGTATAAAGGGTGTCTATTGGTTATGTTTAATTATTAATTAAGCGTCCGTGGCCGAGTGGTTAGTGCGTGAGACTCATATTCTCCTGGTTGCAGATCGAATCCGAGAAGCTGACATTTTATAGAGCTGCGTTTTTGTGTTCTGGCTAGTGTTAGCGAAGCACAGCTTCGTCTGTTTAAAAGAAAAGCTGTACAAAACGATCACTTCTGTTAAAGAGAAAAGTTTAATATAACGCTGCATATTGGTAGCTTCATATAACGCTTACTTTGCAGGAGAATGTTTTTTTTTAATATATATATATTTTTTAAATTCTGCTAGAAATTAGAATAAGCCTAATTGTTGTGATAAACTTATTAAATAGTTTTCAGACAGAAAAGCAAATGCTCGCTAAACGGTCGCCCTAATTCAAATTCTCTCGCTTGCTTTCTTTCGTTATTTTCGAAATGCAGATTCTTAGTGACAAAATCAAAGCAGCGAATCTAAACGATATCGAGCAAATTCGCTCCCTTCTTATGGATGTAAGATATTGCCGACGATATTATATCCCACCTTGAGACGGAAATTAAGGATCTTCGCGTGCTGAATGCCATTAAAGACGACAGGGCAGAATGGAAGTGTTGATAAAGATGTACAGATGCATGTGTATAGTGGATCTACTCAAGGTGATAGCTTTGCTGGTTCTAAATCAAATACTACGTTTCCTACTAGTGGAGAGAAAGGTAAAACTTTGAGTAAATTTTATGTTGGAAAGCGCAAACATGATAAGGATGACAACAAACTGGACCGGCTGTGTAGCTTGTTGGAAACAGTCATTGAGCATGTGTCTCCTCCTGCTAAAAAAAGCATAGGTCTACGTGCACCGCAGTGTATTACAAATGATGCGGAAAGTAACGCGGGAACATAAATACTCTATACTTAGCTTCTTGCTTTAAATTTTTTGTTCTTTTTTGGGAAACCTAATGGAAGCAAATATTGGGGGGAAAAAGGTGTGCTTTTTCTTAATATAAGATCACTCAGATTACATCATGACCAGCTATGTGTTTTGGTTGATTCACTCAAACAAAAACCATTAGTTATAGCTTTATACGAGACATGGCTAACTGACAATGATTTTTTGGATTTTTTTTCAGTTGGATGGGTATCAAAAAGGGGTTTTTAAAAATAGGGAAAAAAGGGGTGGCGTTGTAGCTTTTTTTGTCAGAACGGGAGTTGAATTTATTCTTCAGGATTTAAAATCTGATTTGGAGTATCTTACCATAACTATTTGGAACAAATTAACTTATTTTACTATATGCACGGTCTATAGATCACCTAATCAAACATATTCAACATTTCTAGAAAATCTGGATTATCTATTAAATGAACTTCGATTATTAAAAAGAAATCCAGTTATTGTGGGAGATTTTAATTTTGATATTCTTGCCAAGGATGAAAAACCAGAAGTGTTAAGTTATAAAACGCTTTTAAAATCTTTTGATTTGGATTTTTGTTTGAGTGAACCAACCAGAGTTACTGAAAATAGTGCAACATGCATTGACCACTTTATAACAGAAGATTTTTATCCGGTGACAGTTATCAAAACCACAATTAGTGATCACTATGCATTGTTGGGTGAATTGCCGTTTTTGGTTGAAATGCCTTGCAAAACTGTTATTTATACCAGAAATTTTAAAAAAACTGAAGCTTGATGACAAGTTATTATTTCTTCTTCATGTCGAATTGGAAAAGTTGAGTGATAAGGAATCAGTAAATACAAAAATCCACGGTTTAACGTATTCAATGATTAATGTTTTTGATAAGTTTTGTCCTTTTAAACCAATTGATTTTACAAAACAATTGAAAAAAAATTTTGGATTTTCAACAATTTGAAACAAATATGCAAAAAACGAGACGCTGCTCAGAAAAAAATGGTAGCACTTCCGAACGATGAAACAAAAGCGAAATTCAAAAAAATTCAGAAATGAGGCGAAAAAGCTTATTATGACGGAGAAAAGAAAGTTTTGTGACAATCAACTTGGAAGTTGTAATGATTCCAAAAAAAATGTTTCAAGTTTTCAATAAATTTTGTGGGAAAAAGAAATCTAATTTGTGCAAATTAGAGGTGAATGACACGAATAAATTTTTTGCTACCATTGGACCCACACTTTCAAAAAACTTTGAGAGTTTAAATACAACGATAAAGTTTCACGAAACTCTGATACTTTTGTTTTCTTTCCCACTGATGTTGATGAAATGGCGAAGGTTATTAAGAACCTGATGAACAAAAACTCGACTGGTCATGATGGTTTGAGTAATGTAATGATTAAACTTTGTGCACCAGTCATTATGAAGATCTTAGTTGTTTGTTTTAATGAAATGTTCGGCTCGGAGTCTTTTCCTGACGATTGTAAAATAGCGAAAGTGATTGCCCTGTTCAAAAGTGGAAGTGAAATTGATTTTGGTAATTACCGACCCATCAGCCTTCTATCAACTATAAGCAAAATTTTTGAAAAACTAATTTATAGAAGAATGGTCAAATTTTTACAGAAGTATAAAATTCTTTGCCCTGAACAGTTTGGCTTCAGAAAAAAACATTCATGTGTACATGCAATCTCACTTATAGTCAAATATATGCGCTCAGTTTTGGAACGAAGAGATAGTGGAATGGCACTTTTTCTAGAATTTAAGAAAGCATTCGACACTCTCGATCACGATATCTTAATCATTAAATTAGAGAAATAAGGGTTCCGTGGTAAATTTTTAAATGTGTTGAAAAATTATTTAATTAACAGAGTACAATTTGTAAGTGATGGTATCATAAATTCTTCATTTGAAAAAATAACTTGTGGAGTTCCCCAGGGTTCGGTTTTAGGTCCTTTATTGTTCTTGATTTATATCAATGATATTTCAAATGTAACAAAGACATCCGAGATAAGCCTTTTTGCCGATGACACTGCTATTGTTGGTTCTGGTAAAACGAGAGCGTTTTTGAAAAAAATCAGAACAGATACTCAGAGCCTAAATGACTGGTGTAATGTCAACAAGTTATCGATTAATACAGACAAGAGTAAACTAGTGGGTTTTGGTAAAGCGATGCCTGATGCCTCAATTTCCATTGCTGGTGAAAACATGGAAAATAAAGAAAGAAAAAATTGAATTTTAATATGCAGACTGTAAAAGTTTGCACGAAAATTTCCAAATTTAATGGTGTTTTATATCGAGGAAGATCTTGTTTCTCTAAACAGGCATTAATTAAGTTTTACATTGCATACGTGATTCCATTAATTTCTTATGGCTTATTAGCTTATGGATGTATATCGAAATCAAACCTTGATAAAATTTTCTTGGCACAGAAAAAAATCATAAGAACCATTTTCTTCCTTCAAAAATATGATCATGTGTCGGAGTTTTTTTTTTCAAAATTCCAACTTCAGAGTGTACATAAAATTTTTATCAGCCAATTGTTTTCCGAGACAATTTTTCAGTACCTTGGAAAATCGCCTTTAAAATTTTTGAATCTTGATTATGTGAAAACGCGTCGTAGTACCCGGTCGAATAGCTTAGGTTGTATACCCTTACCTTTGAGAAAATCAAAAATAGCACAAAATTCGGTTTCGTACAAAATTGTGAAATCCTATAATTTCCTAATGTCAAATAACCTATTGCCTCTTAACCTTAACGAGTTTACTGATAAACAGAAGAAAGACTTTTACGTTAAATTAAAAAAAGTGTACTTAAATGACAATCGATTACTTGTTGACATGTTTATAGGGTAAATTTCGTGTACACTCATATTTTAACTCGGTTTTGCTTTCACTCATTTATCTAGGTTTCCCTTAGGTTACTGCTAGTTGGGCTGCACTAGCCGTACAGTATCCTTGATGCAGTATTTAAGTACACATATGTGATCTTTATACTGTCTCTAAATTCAAATTCAATTCAATTTAGAAGTTTTTTCGGGGAAACTTTTTTGTTCCTTTTTCACTGACAAATGTTGTCGATTATGCCTAGTTTACCAGGCATAATCGACACTTAGACATAATTATAGAAATGTGGTCGGGACAGTCTGCGCTACTGACTCAGCAGCAGGCTATCCATGTTTCAGTATATGTATTTAATCGAACGCTAGCTTATACTCGATGCTGGCGCCTTCATTTTTGAATCGTAAAGTTGTCTCTCTCAATGATATTTCAACTATGTTTCAACAACATTGCAACTAAATTGGCTTATTATCAGAATGGGTCGAGTGATATATTTTTGAAGTTTTTCGTTTTTTGTCTAATTTCGAGCAAATACAGCATGCTGGTTAGATCTTATTTAAAGAAATTGCTTCTTTAATTAGTGAAAAAGGTTTACTCATAAAAAAAACTAGTTTTGAAATCAATGAATCAATCAGCAAACAATTAGAAAAAGCTGTTTTTCTAAAAATATTAAATGTTTTTTTTTTGCATTTTGAAGACAACTATTGTCGACTGTGCCTAACTCACTAACGGTTTTACCCATTCGTATCCTTCTCTATTCTAATTACGTACAAACAACGACACTATTTAAACAAAACAAAACATTTACTTGAACCAGGTCAGAACATTCTCTGCTACTTGCTAAATATGCGGCTATCCTTGTTTTGACGTTATTTTCATTGAACATAAATATATTGAATTCTTAGTAGATTTTTTGGCTAGTTGTTACGCTGTTTGTGTCCTATCACAAGTGGTGTGAAGCTCTATTTAGCTATTTAGATTCGTCGATTAATGAACAAACTGTGATGTTTTTTGTATATGTTTTCTCATTCGTTGGAGAGAATTTACTAAAGTTCTGATATTGCTTACATAAACTTTGAAACGAAAAAAAACCGTAAAAACAATATTGCCAACTTGTTTGTAGTAACGAAAATTTGATTCCCATTTACAGTGAGTTAGCAGAGAGGAAATTCTCGCCCAAAATCCTTTCGCAAACGGATAGAGGTAAGTGAATTTACAAAAGTCATTTGAAAATGACTCTTGATACTAACTAAACTGCGATGAAAGATGTGGGCATGCCCATGTGAATAGATTTTTACTGTAATTCTAACATGGCAACTTTCATTTGGGCAATTTTTCAACCATTTTTTATTGTAATTTTACGAGGAAAGGTGGCATTTTTTTTATTTCTTAGAATCTAGGTTATCAAACTTCAGAGATTATTTGAGCTATTCGAAAAAAAATAGCAAAGCTTGGACTTTAAATGCAATTTCTCAATTTTTTTCACACAAGTTAATGCCAAACAGTTAATTGCTGCACAAATTATATATAAGGGAACTAAAATTCCTATTCGATAAATACGGTTATTATGAAAATATACCTGTTTTTATCAAATAGGACCAGCGAGAGGTGGGAGAAGTCC